GGTTCCGCCTGCCGATTCCTCACGGCAAACCATTCAGGCCATTACCATGCTTGATTAATGTTATCAACTACTCACTTGTCGGAAGAAACCTTCGAAGAGTGCTAGGCGTTTTTTGCGGGTGTCTGGATCGCAGTTCGTGAAATCGAGGATGTAGTTCCGCCTGCGGCGAGCCGCCAAGGAAAGCAACCTAAACAGCGATTTCAGTAATTGACGAACACACGAATATTTTTCCCACCTATTCCTAGCTTTCCCAACCAAACCGAGAACCATATCCCATCGTCCTATGTGACTGCTATTTCTCGACACACCGTTCACCTGCAACATATGTCATTTTATTCGTCTTAATTATACTTCGAACTTTGATCATTGTAAATATTTAGAAAGTTCATAAACGAAAACAAATCACCTTCATGGAAGCTAATATGGTATCAGCACTAATAAGCGTCCAGTGCTCTTTGGGATGTTCACGGATATAACGACGAACCCAAGTGGTCTTTCCCACACTAGGTAAGCCCACCTGTAAAAAGTTGTTCAGTAGAAGGTAAATAAAAAAACCCATTTAGCACACTAATCAAAACAGAAAGTTGATTTTTATCGGTTTTCTCTGTTTCAAAGCGTTATAAATAACTTCTCCCTCTCCGACGGCAATTTTTCTCACGAAAATGGAAGAAACTTCGAAAGTAAAACTCTAGAAAGTGGTAGAAAGTTGGGAAAATCTGGGAAGATGGTAGGGGGTGGATGGAACATGAGGGAAAGGGGTCGTGCTAAAGGAGCAAATTTTGAAGGGTGTCGCATTTTGCAAAATCCAACGACATGGACTGATCTGAGGATAAGTCGCGCCGTGTTTTGACGCGATAAAGTTAGGGAAGGGTTCTATTCCTTGACAATAGCTGAATGACGCTGATTGTCCCAAGGAGAATAGGCACTAAAGAAAAAAGAAAGCGCTTACAGAGAAGAATGTTCTTCAGTGTTTTGGGGGAATTGTCATGGAGTGGCCTCTAGGGATTCTCGGGAGCCGGCACCACTCTAAAAACCATGATATGGTCCGGCCATCCAAAGAATACGGATAAACAAGTCCTTCCTACTCTATACCGCAGGCTATCTTATCTATTTTCTCCTTCGCATACTTACCCATGTGTAGTAAAAATGCTCGGGATTCCCCCCCTCCCCTCTTCCCCCCGACTCTGTGAATCTAGTCCCTCCACATTACCATCTGCTCTGAGCCCCGAAATAAGTTATATAAGAACAGCAACTCAGCAATCATGAGCATTCTGTAGCATAGGTAATCAATTCAGCTGATTCCTGAACCTCGAGAAAGCCTGGGAGAAGCCGAATCGGGAAACTGCCTGGGACAACGGTCAACGACAGCAGTTGGGATGCCGTTCACACAAACTACTACTACTGCAGTCTATAAAACGTACTCAAAAAATGTACTGCTGCTGGCGTAGGACTACCTGTTCAATTCAATACTATTCTATTTAAAATGCACTGTAAAAGAATTTATGCGAACTCAGTAGATCACTGAAGACCGAATTATCGCAGTTTAAAAAAGAAACCAAAAGAGAGTTATCGATTGATAATACAGAAAACCTACCATCATGAGCACTGTGCAGTCAGATTTGCTTTCTGGTGGAACAGGTGCGCGTTCCGTTTGCGAGCTTGGAAGAGAGTTTGGGAATATCCACTCGGGACGCCTAAAGAGCACCACATGAGAGAAGAACAAGAAACTGAAAACAAGTTTTCTCACTTCAGCCACTCCTCTTCGCCTCCTGGAAAGGTGCCGAAGTTGACAGACACACGACAATTCTTCACACATATATGGGGATATACCGCTTCATCCTCTGGGATTGTCACATTCGAGAAAGCTACTCCCATGCATTCAGAGTTCTTCCAGAAACTAATTTGCCCATTTTCGAAATTCTGTATAAAAATGATTAAGTGGAGGCATGATAATGAAAAGAAAACATTTATAGCTTACTATTTCTGCTGTGATTACATCTCCAACTCCAAAAGAGTCGCCATAGTCAGTGAAGACATTATTGTTTGCTCTTTTCCCTAAGGACGTGCAGCAATAAGACCCTGGATACTCGCCCAACTGAATGAAGAAGAGGATAAAACGTAGCTTCAAAACCAGTAGCACCAATCGGATCTGTGAAGTGGACTAACTCCTTACCACAAGCGGTGACGAGCGGAAAGAGAAGCCAACACGAATATCGTTAGGGTCCAATTCATCAAATGGAAGATGCCTCGTTGGTAACAAATCCGTGATCTTAAACGCCATATAATTGCAAGACCATTCCTTCAAGAAAAGAATGTATTACGAAGTAATGATATTCACCTTCACTTGAAATACTATGGAGCGTACATTCTCGTCAGTGCATTCAGGGCTTGACTCCGAGTTTTTCCTTAATCATAGAAGTATGTCTGAGAACCACATGGAGGGTTGTACTTTGTTTAGTTCAGAACAAACTACTTGATTAAAACCCGATTTTACTCACCGACATTTCGGTAAGATTCCATGGGTGCTTCTAACTCCACCCCAGACAAGAGCCAATCCATCCTGATTATCCGGGTCAATTATCCAGTCGTTATCTGGTGCACCTTTCAGGTGCAAATCACCATTGTCTGAAAAGGAGATTAGTTCATTCTTTTCAGCATTACACATCGAAAGAAAAACATGAACTTCAATCATGAAATGGCCCCACATATCATAATTACATGTATTGCTCCGAGACTGCCAGCTATCACACATGCACCACATTTTAAAAACGTAATAGGGCAACTTATTTCTTCTCAAATAATGAATAAGTCAAAAATGAAATTGTCTTCAGCAAGATTAGCTGTAGCAGTCCTTTTGAGACGCGCATGGTCCTAGCTCAGAGCCCTCCCAGGGCAAACAGGATTTCCATACACTGGAGCGGTAATTCTCCCATTTGGCTCGTCCTGTCAGGTAGAACACTGACACGAGAAGCGCACTGGCTCACCCCATACAAGTCGGAAGGCATTCCCAACTCTGAAGAGATGAGAAAAGTGTGGAACGTATGTTATGGGACTAATTAACATCGAACTTTGCATACCTCTGAATGATGTAGTGCTATGAGCAGGATCTGATTCGTAAACAACATTAAACTCTGACAGGAGCAGAACTGGCGGTGGGTTACCATGCTCGCTGTCTAGGATTTGAACTCGGGTTGGCTCCCAGGCGAGCTAAGGCATTGTTCACAGTCTGCGGCCCAGCGTTTCTCTGGAACGCAGCGGTTCGGCGAAAAGCTTTCGATACGTATCGACTGGCGGTTGGGCGAAGAGTCTGGCGGTTGGGCGAAAGGGTTTTGATACGAATCGACGGGCGTTTCGCCAAACCGCGACGTTTTTCGCCTTCGACGAAACGCTAGCTCGATCGCCTGGCGTTTTTCGCCAGCGAAATCGATACGCATTTATTGCTTTTCGCCCAACCGCCGAACCGCGGCGGTTCGGTAGCGGTTGGCGATTCTCCGATCGATGACTATTTTTTGCTTTTCTCCCAACCGCTGTTTCGTCAGTGTCGCAGACTATGAACAAGGTGCCTAAGCCTTCTACCCTCATAGGACGGTAAACTGGCACCAGAATCGTTCGGGGGATGAAAGACTGGCTTGTACTTCGGCTACCCCCCCCCAAGTCATTGCATAGACCATATCGCATTGATGAAGTCACTACGATTGAACGGAAGAAGAATGCGCGCTGCATCCCAAAAGGATTTCTCAATGGCGAAGACTCCAGATTTTTAGCAACAGTACTGCTCTTTTTTTATAGTGAGCTAGACAAGGGACGTTTTCAAGTAGTGCAGGTTAAACATGTATGTTTCCTATCGAAATCCTCTTCGATGCTTAGATCAAGCAATTTCCGGATTTTCCCAAATGATCCCCAATCTGTCAAAAAAGATCCAGGGAGATACAGTCCACAAAACTACGTTTGAGCTTATTCGCACATGCCATACTTTGATATAACAGATTTTTGGTACCCTTTCTGTTGTTCGAGGTCAAGAACCATATAGGCCCTGAAATAGTACAATTTTGAGCAATATAGGTGACTAATAGAGAACTTTGCCTTCTTGGTTAGCAA